TGGGATGCAGCAAAAGCAGTAATAAGAGGAAAATATATAGCAATAGAGGCTCACATCAAGAAACTAGGAAGAACTCAAAGAAACAACCTGATCTTGAGCTCAAAGAACTGGAAAAAGAACAACAAAAAACCCCCAAAACCAGTAGAAGAAAAGAAATAATAAAAACCAAAGCAGAAATAAATGAAATAGAAACTAAAAAAAAAAAAACAATCCAAAAGATCAATGAAACCAAGAGCTGGTTCTTTGAAAAAATCAATAAAATAGACAAACTCCTAGCCATGCTCACAAAGGAAAAAAGGGAGAAAGCACAAATAAAAAGGATCACAAATGAAAGAGGAGAAATCAGAATGGACACAGCAGAAATCAAAAGAATAATCACAAACTACTATGAACAGCTATATGGAAACAAGTTCAACAATCTAGAGGAGATGGACAAATTCCTACAACTCTACAATCACCCAAAGCTAGATAAAGAAGAAATAGAACACCTAAACAGACCAATTACAAGCAGCAAAATTGATATGGTAATCAAAAACCTTCCCAAAAACAATAGCCTAGGACCTGATGGATTTACAAATGAATTCCACCAAACATTCAGAGACGAATTAGTGTCTATCCTTCACAAACTCTTCCAAAAAATTGAGAAGGAAGGGATAATACCAAACACGTTCTATGAAGCCAACATTACACTAATACCAAAACCGAACAAGGACAACACAAAAAAAGAAAACTACAGGCCAATCTCACTAATGAACACTGAAGCAAAATTCCTCAATAAAATTTTAGCTATCAGAATCCAACAATATATCCATAAGATAATTCACCACGACCAAGTAGGATTCATTCCAGGGACACAAGGATGGTTCAACATCCAAAAATCAATCAACGTTATCCAACACATCAACAAAAAGAAATATAAAAACCATATGATAATATCAATAGATGCTGAGAAATCTTTCGACAAAGTGCAACACCCATTCATGATAAAAGCCCTTGAAATTCTTGGGATACAAGGAACACACCTCAACATCATAAAGGCCATATATGACAAGCCAACAGCCAGTATCATTCTCAATGGTGAAAAGCTGAAAGCATTTCCATTAAGATGTGGAACAAGATAAGGATGTCCACTTTCACCACTGCTTTTCAATATAATACTGGAAGTCCTAGCCAGAGCAATAAGACAAGAGAAAGACATACAAAGAATCCAAATAGGAAAAGAAGAAGTCAAACTATTGCTATTTGCAGAAGATATGATGATATACATAGAGAACCCCAAAAACTCCACAGAAAAACTAATTCAACTAATCAATCAGTTCAGTAAAATGGCAGGATACAAAATCAACACGCAAAAATCAATAGCCTTCCTATACACAAACAATAAATCTGAAGAAGAAGAAATAAAAAAAAAAATCCCTTTTATTATCAAAACAAAAAAATCAAATACTTGGGAATAAATCTAACAAAAGAGGTAAAGGACCTATACAAAGAAAACTATAAAACACTGTTTAAAGAAATAGAAGAAGACACAAAGAAATGGAAAGACAACCCCTGCTCATGGATTAGAAGAATAAACATTATTAAAATGGCCATCCTACCAAAAGCAATAGACAGATTCAATGCTATTCCAATAAAAATTTCAATGTCATTCTTAAAAGAAATAGAATAATTATTGATGAAATTCCTATGGAATCACCAAAAACCCCGAATAGCCAAAGCTCTCCTGAAAAAAAAAAGAAGGGAATGGAGGCATCACACTCCCAGACTTCAAACTATACTACAAAGCTATAATCATCAAAACATCATGGTATTAGAACAAGAACAGACACACAGACCAATGGTATCAAATAGAAAATCCATAAATAAACCCACAGATTTATGGTCAACTAATCTTTGACAAAAGAGCAAAGAATATGCATTGGAGCAAAGAAAGTTTGTTCAATAAATGGTGCTGGGAAAACTGGGTCACTACATGCAAAATAATGAAGCTTGACTACTACCTAACACCATGCACAAAAACCAACTCAAAATGGATTAAAGAACTAGACATAAGACCTGAAACCATGAAATACATAGAAGGAAATATAGGCGAAACACTCCATGATATGCACATCAAAGACATCTTTACAGACACATCACCCAAAGCAGTGATAGTGAAGTCAAAGATAAACAGCTGGAAGTACATCAAATTAAAGAGCTTCTGCACAGCAAAAGAGACAACAACAAAAACAAAGAGACACCCCACCGAATGGGAGAACTTTTTTGCACACAACACTAATGATAAAGGACTGATTACAAAAATCTACAAAGAGCTGATGGACTCAACAAAAACAAAGAAAATAACGCAGTCAAAAAATGGGCAGAAGAGCTAAAAAGAAACTTCTCTGAAGAGGAAATGCAAATGGTCAACAGGCATATGAAAAAATGTTCAACATCACTTGTAATCAGGGAAATGCAAGTCAAAACTACAATGAGAAACCATCTCACACTAGTGAGAATGGCACATATTAAAAAAACTAGTAACAACAAATGTTGGCGAGGTTGTGGAGAAAAAGGAACTCTCCTGCACTGTTGGTGGGAGTGCAAACTGGTCCAACCACTCTGGAGAGCTGTGTGGAGATTTCTGGACCTACTAAACATAGAGCTTCCATATGATCCAGCAATTCCACTCCTAGGTATTTACCCAAAGGACACAGAAACATCAATTCCAAAGAGCACCTGCACCCCTATGTTTATAGCAGCATTATTTACAATAGCTAAGCTTTGGAAACAGCCCAAATGCCCAAAAATAGATGACTGGATCAAGAAGATGTGGTACATATACACCATGGAATATTACTCAGCATTCAAAAAAGATAAACACATGCAATTTGCAGCAACATGGATGGCGCTGGAAGGGATCATGCTCAGCGAAATAAGCCAGAAAGAAAAAGAAAAGTACTGGATGGTCTCACTCATAGCAGGAATCTAGAAAACTTAAATAAAGGACCAGGAAAAAGAATAACTATAAGAAAGAAAATATCAAAATCAACAAACAACTATGAACCAGAGACACTCTATGCGGGCTGGGGGCGGGGAAAGTAAGGACTGGGGTCAAAATAAGGTGGTTGTAATTGTATGGGGAATATAAAAATAAAATTTAAATAAAAAAAGAAAGTGGGAACATGGTCATATTTTTGCTTATTTTCAAATAGAAAAGTGATTGGTTTTATTTTTGTGAAGGTACTTAAAATCCTTCAGCTATGACTAAAACTTTGGAAGCCACCAAAGGGGACTAAGGTCTCAAGAACAGAAGTAAGTATTCCAGTGAATTTACTCACAAAGAGTAAATCAACAGAAAAAAAAGTGAAAAACATATGCTGTCTACTGTATTTTTCTTAGTTTCTTTAATCATGTTTATTTGAAAATTGACTACTATATGACAATCCTTGTCAAGGTTATTGTTAAAAGTGTAGTAATGATTAATGACTCTGGTGAAATTATGGATTCCTATTGTTACTAGGCTAATAAAAAGTAAACCCCAACTAAATCTCAAACTATATGATATATGTGTATGTTGCATTCTTTGAAATATAAATATTGTATAAATCCTGATGTTATAAAGTTTGTTTTCTGGACTATATCATCTTCATCTCAAAATTAAATAATTGCGCAAATATTTTTAATTTAGTTAAGGCCTTTCTTAAAGAAAAACACATTAAATATCACTTCTCCATAGAATTACAAGTAAAGCTGACTAATTTTCTTAAATTGCGGAGCACAATATGATTCAGGGCAAAATTACTGATGTTTTTAAGTGAATATAATGACATAACCTTTCTTTCTTTTCATTTATTAACAAGAAATAGCTATTCCACAATTTTCTTAACTTTTAAATAGGTATTTATAATGTTTGTGTTACATTGTATAGGTATATATCATATATTAATGATAAAAAATATCTAAAATATGTAAATTTCTCACTGTTTACCTCATGTTGGGCTAATTTTGAACCCTAAAAGATGGCAAATATTATCCTGATTTTACAAATGAGGAAATTGAAGTTCCAAGTAGTTAAATAACTTATTCAAGGTTTTTTTTTTTTTTAAGATTTATTTATGAGGCCTCCCAGGTGGCGCAGCGGTTGAGCTCTGGGTTGCGAAGCTGCCCGCAGCCTCTGTGGCACCGGTTCGATCCCCGGCTGCTCCCCGGCCACTGGAGGAGGGTCCCACATGGCGCGCAGACCTCTCCTGCCGCCCGCTGCTCCCCTCAGCAGTGTACTTTGGTCCTTCTGCCTGCTCTGCTCCCTGCTCTGGCTCTGGTGAATTCTCTCACCCTCCCGCGCTTCTGACTATACCCAGTGCTTGTATAAATAAAATAAATAAATCTTAAAAAAAAAAAAAGATTTATTTATGCATACAAGAATTGGAGTACAGGCCAGAGGTGAGAGGGTGGTGAGAGGATTCATCAGAGACAGAGTGGGGAGCAGAACAGGCTGAGTGACTGAAACACACTGCTGAGGGGACCAGTGGGCAAGACAGGAAAGGTCTGCTGTGCCCTGGCCTGCCTGGAATTGAACTCATGCTGCAGAGGCTGTGGAGAGCCTCACAGTGCTGTGCTTAACCACTTGCACCACCAGGGAGGCCCAAAATAACTTATCCAAGGTTTTCTGACTCAAATAAGGAGTCACAATTTGAACCAAAGCAGGTTATCTCTAACTCCTATACTAACACATTATTTTAAATATCTGAAGACTGGTGATTCTCTATGACATTGGCTGTTGTGGATGCACTATTTCCTGTTCTCAGTCATTTGATAAAAATTCTTTTTTAAGGAAATCAAAGTGGGTCTGTCAATTTAGCTAATTTTCTGCCTTCTCTAAAGCTAAATGTTGGTAAAATGCTCTTTCTTCCAGTAATGTAAATTATAAGCAGAGTGACACAAAGAAGGCACATGAGTTGATTGAGCCAGAACTAAGGTGTTTGCTTGTAGAAAACCCTGCCTTTGCTCCCAGGACATACCTTGCTGAAGGTCTCCCTGGTTCCTCTTTCTTGAGGTCTAAACTTTCAGTTTCTCTTTAAAGAGTGTTTGCTCTTTCATATTTATATTTTATCCTTTTATTTGCTTGTTTTGGCTTTCTTTGGTTGAAGAATTGTATCTGAGCGACATGAATCCATAGCTTTGAATATTCCAGAATAGTCATTGTCTAAACATTCTCTCCTGCTCTGTTCCTAAGTACTTGAAATCTGGATATTCCAGTTTCAACAAATGCATCTCCAAACTGCATTTCCAATATGCTGAACATAAAATTCCAGGGCAAACATTATATTTTGGTAGACAGCCTCTTTATTGTTGTTGCTTGGGAAAATGTGGTCACATTGATTAGATTGTCCTTGAATCATGAGTTGCCACAGATTAATTGTATTCCAAGTCACTGGACTTCAGAAACTATTTTTTTGGTAACTTTCCATGACTGAAAGTTTCAAAATTCTGTTCTTATGACCCATTCTAATATTTACTTTAGAGTTCAACAATATTTTACTTGTTATGGTATAATTTAAATACTGAATAACTCATATACCTTTACATAAAGGTTGTCATTTTTAAGTATACAACTCAGTGTTCTAGCAATATATACATAATGTCATACAATCTTCATCACTTTCTAATCAAGAATATTTCATCACTCCAAAATGAAACCCTGCTTCCATTAGTAGTCACTCCCCATTAGCAACCATTCCCCAGTCTCCTCTCCCCCAGTCTGGGGAAGTCACTAATTTACTTTTAATTCATTTAGAGTTTTTAAATATCTCAACAGTATCTCTTTTAAAAAAGAAATTTTTATTCACTCAATCTATATTAAATGTTTAGCATTTTCTCCTATTATGTACTGATTTTAAAATAAAACAAAACAAAATATATTTGTGTCTTAACAGCAGTTGAGAGTGTCAAGATGAGGTTCAGATTTCAAAAGTGCTAACTTCCACTGGAATGGAGAGATTTCACTTCCAACTTAAGCCAATCACATATGATCATAGTTTTATTGGGAGGAAGCCCACTACAATAATGACAGCATACAATTCAATTAGGGTAAAAGGAAGAGGGCTATGAGCCACTTAGTGAGGTTTGGGAGACCAATACAGTTGGTTATGGAGTTGGGGTGCCCATTACATTAACCCAGATTAAGCAGTATTTCGTCAGAGTCCCACCAGGAATTCTGAAGATACCGTCCAAATTATTTCATTAAGCAATTAATAAAGGGATTATTTACTGCAAAAATACATAGAACAACAAAAAATAGCGAAGCACCCAGGAACAAGAAATATTTTGAAACCACTACCAAATTCATAGTAGTGATTATGTATCACTCTCCTTAAATCTCTCTTGTCGAGCACAGTAACTCCTGTAGCTGCCATTATGATCAGGATTATAATACTTATGACTCAATGAAGACCACTAAGCTAAATTTTATACACATCATTTCACATATTCTCAGACACTTTTTAACTTGGGAAATATTGACAATAGTTTGTAAAATGTACAGTGAATTTCAGGAGTCAAAAAAAAAATGGGTTAAATATCACACAGGTAACATACTGAAGCAGATTTAAAGTATGCCTGACTCACTCAAAATGCAGTGATATCTAAGTTATGGTAAGTGAAGGTGAATTTAAGCATCAAATAAAAGACTTCACTGTTTACTTTTAAATTTCTACTAGCCCAAGACCAGTAGACCAAGGTTTTTCCCTCTAAACTTTAGGGAACAGTTAATAATATATAACTGTCATTTATTTTGGTACTTTGCCACAAAGCTGTTTACATTTTGTTTCCCAACCATTTCACAAACTTCTCAGGGGCACCTCCCTTGTGTTATACAGCTTTATATCTCTCAGACTCTTGACTCTGCAAATACAAGTCTTTGCTATTTATACACATATTCTTTCTATGTGTTTTTCTGCAGTCCTCAGTATAGCTACAAGTCTAGTTGTCACAGGGTTTTCATTACACATAATTAGGTTCTAGAGCAGAAATTTCCACATCCTGAATGTACAATGCAACTTATGTTTAGCATTCAAATCAGAATAGGTTTTTTTTCCCTCACTGTCTCTACCTTTTTTAGAGATTTTGAAAATGCCAACATGGGCTTTGCAGACTATAATTAGAAATTATTTTAATAGAGGGTAAATATAGGACCTGTCTGAATCAAATCTTTTATATTGACTGACATAAATATATGGATTCCTAAAAAACATTTCTTATGTTGGTAGATAAAAGTGAGAGAAGAAATCCTTACTGCCTTTGACCAGGATGCTGACCTTGAAATCAATGAGGCAGATTCGTTCAGGACAATCTTGCAAATTGCTTAGCCAAGCACTGAAGCTCCTCTGAGACCTAGATCAAATTTATGCAAACTTGAATTTTCCAGCCTCTCTTGCTATTTCTCTCCACCTATGTATCATAGATACTAGCTGCAGAGAATGATGGAGAAATACCCTGCGCTCTTCTGAGACTCCCCATTTTACTTTGTTAATGTCCCCTTCTGGAATGTTTTGTCTCATTGGGACTCTGAAATGAACAAAGATGCAGTCCAAACTATATTTTGCAATAGGACCTATCGGTTAAGAGTACATGTTCTGGAGGCAATCCATTTTTTTTTTTGCTCTAGAACATCTTCAACTAGCTGCCTGAACTTAAGTTTAGTACATAACCACTCTGAGTATTAGTTCCTGAATCTGTAACACAAGACAAACACCATCTACCTTAAATTAAAATGAGATCATGAAAGTACAATGCTCAGTACAATGTTTAACACAGTAAATGCTCAGCCGAGTAGAAGCTACTAAATTATTATCCAGATCAAATATTTTCTCCTCTGGTAAGACTTATTCTTCCCCAGCTTTCTGATAAGACTATTCTTCCTCAGCTGGGATTACTCACTGCGTTGTTTGATTTTAGCACACTTTAGTCACCACCATGACAATTTCCTAATTGTATTATGTGTTTATATTTCATAATAAGAATCTGGGTCTTTTTTTCAGCATAGCTGCTTTGCAATTGTTTATTAAGTATTGGAATAACATATATGAAAGACTGATGAATGATGATGAATGACAAATGTAAACTAAGATGTAAAATACTTTTATATAAAGATGTTCATTATTCTACAATGACCAGTTTACTTCAAAGTGGGTAATTTACATGGCGAGAGATGCTGTCTTAGGATATACTTAAGATCTAGTCAATGAAAAGGCTTGGCAATATGATCATTGATGCACTTAATCAATTAATTATTTCTTTCTGAAGTTGAGAAGTGGACAATGTTTCTTTCATCTCTATTTTTCAATAATAATGAGAAAACTGGATGCCTTATACCATTAGGGTGTTGTGCATTTTGCAATTCTTAATTAATTTGTGGCAAACACATAGCAATCTCCCTGGCCAATTTCACATGCATACAGCAGCATAATCTTTTTTCTCTTATAGAAAAGATTTCTTTATGAGTCATAAGTCTTCTCCAGAGGGTGTGGTTATCATCTGATAATCACACCCTAGGGAGATTAAAAACACTTATCTTTGGATCATGACTTGCAGTGCCCCAGGGGTGTGATTATCTCAGGAAACTCACACTCTCTGTCATGCCTAATTGCTTAATTATTATAGCTGTGAGTTCACACTGCTATACAGGAGCTAAAGTTGTGTCAGCATTTCCACTCACCATACATTCCTTTTCCAAGAGTATATAACTCAGCTATTAAAAAATAAATCTATGTTTTGTTGAAGCATTGTACTAAAGGTCTCGTACAAAAAGACCTTTTTCGACAGATTATTTTTATCTCAAAAATTGGATCCCTGGCCCCCCAGTGAGTTCATCAAAGAAATAAATGCTAAATAAACACCTTTAAATCATATATTTTTCTGGACAGTTGAGAAAATAATATATACATCCTAAAGACATAAAAATGATTTCTCTAGTTAACCAGCAGGAATTACTCATCCAATTTCTAGTTTCCTTGGAAATGCACTTATACTTTTTAGAACCAGTCATAATTTTTCCCTCTTTGTTAAGTATAACAAGCTAACCTATGGTTGGAAAATGTCATATATTTGTTAAGTTCTGAACCTCAGCTAAAAATCTTTTAGGTCACATACTGTTAAATTTTCTAAAGATGGTTGAGTAAAGCAAAGTTAGATAAGAAATGGAAAACAAGGAGATGTAATAGCCAAAACGTTTCATAGTCACTCATAAGACCCCTCAGTCTTATCAATGTCTCAAAGCTGACTAATGTCTCAAAATCTGGAAAAGGCTGACTCACTTAGATCAAATCCTTAAGAGATCAAAAATTATAAATTACTTTACTAATGCATTAATGTATATTAGTCTAGGCTATTAAATGTTGTAGCTGTAATTCATCTAAGGTGACATCTTCCCCAAAACAGCATTCCTGAGATGTTACTAAAATTTTTACCTGTAGGTATGGAATTGGATGACATAAGAGAATGTAGTATGATATTTTAAACAGAATGTACTGATAATGACACACTCTTGCTCCCTTCTGTTACTAACAGTTACTGAAACTCTGGATAAAGGATTTTTCCTTTGGACAATATTCTAGAATTCTGCTTTCAATTTTCCATGTACCTGGCCATTATAACTTAAGCATCAATTTGAAAACTTATGACATAGCCTGAAACTCCCCTCACCCATAGTAATAAAAAGAAAACAGTTATTTTAGTAATTCCTTAATTCCTCCACTCATCCTTTTAGTTTATTTTGTAAATTTATTTGGCCTTTTTCCTCCCCAAGGCATGCTGCAATCTCTCCTATTCAGGGTCCCAGAGTTGATGAATACCTGATCCTGTGGAGGAGACTCCTCTTGCCAGAGAATTACTTCTGATGTCAATCTACTCTTTAAATATTTGTTACTTAAAAACAAAACAAAACTAAATAATAGTTTATAAACTTTAGTGTGAAATAAAAATGTCAAATTTTCTTAAATAAATCAAGAAAAATATATTCAGATAATGGTATTGTGTACCCTTTGTTCCCCACATTAAATAAAAAAGGGGATTCTTTTCATTAGTAATGCATTTCTTTATTTTTCTTAAAAATTTGAAATGTAAGTAATATCTAACTTTCATAGAGCATAAGCATGGGCTTCAAATGTTTTGTTCTGTTTTTGCTGAT